CTTGATGAATAAGGATTGATGTTCACTATGGTATAAGATTGTAATTCAATAACTTGGGATATATGTGTTTATAATTTATTGAGTTACTGCTACCTTTGGTATTTGAATTTTTTGAATACTTACTAACTGGTTATAGCAGTGTTGCATAAACTAATTCTGTACAGCCATAAAGAGAAAGCATAGTACTCCCTCCGTCCCATTTTATATGATGTACTTTGATTTGGCACAAACTTTAAGAAAAATGGAAAGACTTTTAAAATTTGTGGTCCAAAATGAATGATAGAATTTTGTGTGGTTGTAAATCATTTCATTAAGGGTAAAAAAGACATTTTATAGGCAAATTGTTACTTAAAATAGAAATGTGTCATTCTTTTTGGGACTGACTAAAAAGGAAAGTAAGTCATATAAATTGGGACAGAGGGAGTATATTTTATTTGTAAGATTAAATTGGTAGAAAAATGAAGAAGTTTGGAGCTAAAACGAATTAAAGATGAAAGGTTGAATAAGAAAATCAAGTAGACGGCTTAATCAATTAAATTTAATATAATAATATTTAATATAGAAAGTGCAGCAGATTGCAAATTGAAGGCCTTATGCCACGTGGCAGAATAAAAGGCATCTCCAACCGAAGTGGCTACTGTTCACGCGTGCAGCAAGCAATTCAATTCCGTTTTGGTTTTGGATTCCTTATTTTATTTGGACTTAGTTATTTTATTTAGGGTTTTCTATATTTATAAATAGTCCATAGAAATAATTATTTTGGAGGGGAGAGATCATTCATAGGATACTTTTTAGGGTTCTTTTCTTCTTTTTTGGGGTTAGACACTATTACTTTAGTTCTAGTTTTTTGCTTTGGAAATTAACTTGCAATTTTAGCAATTTTTGATTTCCTAAGTTGGTTTTGAAGATTTTTACTTTGAAATTTAAGTTGAGATTCTGGGTTTCTTCTACTTATTACGTAAGTTCATGATTTCTTCATCTAAAAATATGAATTGTGTTCTTGCTACTATGAGAAACTAAATCCACAACTAGGGTTATGGTAACCATGAGCGATTAACAAAGTATAAATAGTAACTAAGTAATTCTTGAATAGTTTTGTTGCATTCATTGATGATTCTTTCATTTAAAAGTCTTTTTAACTGTGGCCAACGTTAGAACTCGCCTTGTTGCTACTTGCCGGACCAAGGATGTACTTAATAAGAAAAGAATTATCAACATAGATTTAGTGTGATACTATCTAATAGTCTAATTTCAATTGGTTACTCCCTCCGTCCCATTTTATATGATGTACTTTGATTTGGCACAAACTTTAAGAAAAATGGAAAGACTTTTAAAATTTGTGGTCCAAAATGAATGATAGAATTTTGTGTGGTTGTAAATCATTTCATTAAGGGTAAAAAAGACATTTTATAGGCAAATTGTTACTTAAAATAGAAATGTGCCATTCTTTTTGGGACTGACTAAAAAGGAAAGTAAGTCATATAAATTGGGACAGAGGGAGTATAACATTTAGTACCACCAGCAGTGCTAGGCTGTAAGCATTTTTAAATACCATGGTACTTTTTGTGATTACATTGAACTGCTTCTGAAATGGAATTACTCCATGAACAGCTCGAGGCTCAGGGATTGATTGGAATGGTACTTGGAACACCTATGCTGATTTCTGAACTGAAAAAAGAAGTATTTGAATTAAGTTTGAGGGTTACTTTAGTTACTTATACCCTTCTTTTGTCAAGGAGAGAGGTGTGTTTCTCAAACTAATAAGTGATAGTTTAGGTATGAAACTCAAAACAAAGGGATAGTTTAGGTGTGTTTTTGACACTTATCTCCTTTATTAAAGGACACAACTTTCTTTATAAATCATTTGTACCAAACATTGATATCTCTGTTAGAATCCCTATACTTATTTCTGCACCGAGGAAAGTGGTATTCCCTCTATTCCATTTTATATGAGACCATTTCCTTTCCAATATTTTCCAAAAAGAATTACACACTTTTATGTTTGAAACATTTAGCTATGAAGTTTACTCTCAATGACATGATTTTATAGCCAGAAATTTCATGGCATAATAGATACCACATGATCCAAGGGTCTCTCGTTCCACTCCCAGTCAAATAAGTTCTAATAGAATTAAACAGAGGGAGCATCTGTAATAATTTGAGGGCTATTTCAGCCATTACTATTTGGCAGTAGTCACTTGCCTTTATTAAAGCATTCTTGCTTGCTCTACAGACCCATACAGGTTCTTGTTTGTCCTAAACCAGTTAACTAAACAATTGTTTGGTTGATTCTTTCTTCTTCTACTTTGTGAATACAAATTACTAGTTTGAGTTTCTTCATAGATAATGCAATGGATTACATTATTCCATTGATTATCTGGATCAATAAACTTGTATGATAATAATAATAATGTTGCATTTAGATTTGTATTTTTAACCAACAGAAGCTAACTAAGATATACTGACTGATATGATTAATCTCATCAAAACTTGCTTCTTAAATCTCGGCCAGGGTCCAGTTCTATTTATAGTGCGATAAATGGATTATGTACACACCAAGTTGCAAGAAGATATTTTACATGAAGCTCTCAAGGGCAGCTTTTGAAAGAGTTAGCTCAAGTTGAGTGAAGATTCAGCACTAAACTAAACTGCGGGTAGTTTCTCAGATTCTGAATGAATCAACTGGCCCATAGGTGTTATCTACCTGTGTCATGAGACGCAGTGTAAATTAAAACGTACCAATAATATATCAATGCTAAGTAACTATGCTATGATTATGATAATTTTTTTGCTGCTTTTACCTTACTTACGGATAGCTTCTCAATGGCAACTACAACATTTCTTGTGTTCTTCTGTGGGTGAATTTTGCTGTTTTTCAGAAATAGTCACTTTTCAACTTGGAAGTTACCAGTAAAACTCCTGAAATAACCACATTTAGAACAATGACAAAATGTAAAAGTGCCGCATTAATTAATTAAATAAAAGAAGAGGTACAAGGCCCAATTGTAGCTAAGAGATATATTAGTTGTGGAAATGGCTCCTTCCAGTCATAGGGATTAAGAAAGCAACAATATAATGTCCAATGGGTCCTAGCTAGCTGCCTTCACGAATCATGAGTAGGGTATAATCAAAGATCCATAGAGCTACAAGTCAATCCACTAGTCACCTCTTCTTTCAACAATATATTTATTTATTTATTTTCTATAATCCTACCATTACACTATATTAGTCTCACTCTAACATATATAATTCTATTCGCTAGGCTTTGATCAATTAATATTTTTGCTTCTCCTAGAATTTCATAATAGTACATACCTATAATTAATTAAAGTAGTAGTTGATGTTGTAGAAACCATTAAAGTGTTAGTTTGTTATGTTAAAATAGTTGATGTTGCGATAAGATTAGAACATTTAAACCAACATATAATAATAATAATAAGGAAAAAGAAAAGATAAAAAGGTGCACTCTCAACGTTTGAGAAGGTAACGTTAATGAATAAATGGGACCAATTTGTCAACACAGTGTTATGATTAATGGTAAGAAAATCAAGTTTGGTGATGAAACGAACATAAATTCATTTGATTCAGTGCCTCTTAATGTAATGTTATAATTAGCAGAACCACCGCCACTCTAACCATCATGCACATCAATCAATTCTATCAATAGTTTTATGGTGTATATACCTTGTTATTATAACCTAATTAATTATTTCATATATATATTCTTGTCGGTGAAACCCTTTAATAGACTTGTGTGTGCTTCCTTATTTAGAGATCAAGTACCTAAAATGATATATACATTTGTGAAATTAAGAATTAATATAACTATAACAAAGCTGGAGCTGCAATATAATGTTTCATCCTCGTATGAGCCATCAAACAATTAATATTTACAGTATACAGTTCTCTATCTAGCTAACAAAAATGTAGCAATCACCACTATTTTAATTACCATCCTACTTGCTTGGTGCAGAGATGGATATGTACCTACTTAGATTTCTAAAGAATTCATAATTTATCTTATATAAAAGATAAAAGAAATTTGTATTGAATGAGCCGATCAAAAAAGAACCAAAGGAAATGAATAAAAGTAGAGGGCTTGCTCAAGTTAACTGAGATTGAAGCTTGCTTAATTGATTCATTTTTCAACCTTTAGTATGGTTGGCATCTTTATTTTTATACTACAATCTGGTGGCCGATACCTACCAAAATCTATAACACAATTAAGCAAATGTCAGCAATATTCTCTAAAACCACATTTGAAAAAGAAAAAAAAACTATCTAAAAAAATGTGATCTCATCCCCTGCTTTTATGTTCAACAAATTAAATTATTCTTAGTGCCACTTATTAATTGATAAAAATATATTGACATCTTTTGATGAGCACATGATGCAACTAATACTTTTTCAAGATGTATACTTGGAACCCTACATACAAATCAGCTTATTGAAAAATCGTCTTTCTTATTCTACTCCCCCCATTTCTAAATATTAAAAAAAACCTCTTAAAAAAGCATTTAAGTGAAGAATAATAATTTGACTAAATTATTTTTATTTATTACTCCTATCAATTTAATATTTCTTTCTTTGGCACCACATTAAAATTTCTCCATATTTATGATCAAGAATAAAGGTGGAAACAAACAACGGATCGGATATGAAATATTAAAAAGATGGAGGGAGTATTATTTTTAATTCCAAGACAACAATTGCCATGTTTTCTGATATTATTGGTCGACGCTGGAACTTTTTGTAGGTGCAAGCAAGGTAATTATCACAAATTGTAATTTTCAAGATATAGTATAATTTTATAAGATCTCACTACTAATTAAAATCATTACGGTCCTCACTAAAGAAAATAAATTAACTATATATATACACCTCTCTTACGCGATCATCGGAAATTAAAAAGATCAGGCTGGATAGTATATTGGCATTAGTCATAGACAACATAATGATGAAAGAGGAGACAACGTTAATTATTAAGAAAAGATATTTCAGTTGACTATCATATGCATGTCTCATGTCAACATACTCCATTATTCAAGACTCTAATACTATTATTAAAAGAAAAAAGAAAAAAAAATTACGTACGTACGTGGTACTAGTATCATTGTATCAATCAAACTAATTACTATTAAGGATACTATATATAATAACGTCTCAGGTTGAACTTATTTTGGTGTACATAATATATGATGGAGAGGAATTAAACTGATAAGTGGCATAATGGATCGGAGGGTGATGGTGAGTAGCTCCAAAATTCAACGTCAACTTGGTGGTCATCATGTGGTTGAGATTGGGAGAAGGCATCGTCGTCATCATTTTGTCTGGCGTGACCGTGATGATGAAGAGGAAAACATATCATGTTGTTGTTTGATGAAATATTGTCATGGCCGTTAAGTTGAGAAGCCACCAGACGATCGAGAGATACCCAATCACTTGGACCAGATGCCGTTGAAGTTTGTGACCAATCAACAGGCAGGCTAGTTTTAGGTGTCTCACAATGTTGTTGGATAATATTGTTGTTGTTGGTTGGAGAATGATGATTGTGTAGGGGCGGGAGGTGGATGAATGTAGGAGTATTACTATTATTTATCATGAAGGAGTTGGTGTTATTTATTTGCATATCATCTAAGTGAAGGAGCTGGTTGTTGTTGTTTTCCAAGCTGCTGTTTTGTTGTTTGTGCATGTACATGAGTATTTGATCAAGAACGCCGTCGTTGTAATTTGGTTTCTGAATTGTGGACATGAGTGGTGATGGACTCTCAAGAGCCTTATGATAATTCTTCTTCTTGAAAACACGGCACACCACCCATCCTTCTTCCTGCAGGTTATTACTTGATTCATTGACCTGCATGCAGTAGGAACAATAAGGTAAAATTATTAAGTAATTGTAGAAGTATTAGCTAATTATATACTAACACTAACGTTGAGAGTAGTTTGTTGGGGAATGATGATGTTGTCGTCAAGGCGATACTCATGCATTATCCAATCTGATTTCTGACCATGAGGGGCACGTCCTTTATAAAAGACTAAGGTTTTTCTCATCCCTATTCTCTTACAGTTGCTGTGAATGACTTTATCGCGACCAGTAGCCTTCCAGAATCCAGCTGCAGTAGCACGATTTGTTCGAGTTCCTGTCGGATACTTCTTGTCTTTGTGACTGAACAAGTACCAATCATTTTGTGGTGTCGATCCTATTCTGCACTTTTCTGCATATGATATTTATATGATTAGTACGCGCGTGCGTGTTTAAACAAATTAAACAAAATGTAATACATGGTACCTTGAATGTCCCATGGTTCAAGCTTGTTCAGATCAACATCGCGAATAACATCAAGATCAATTTTCTCATAGGCAACCTTTTTCCTCAAGTAATAATGAACAAGTTCTTCCTCCGTTGGATGAAAACGGAATCCGGGAGGCACTTGAGATTCCCCATTTACTGACAGATTCATGTCCTTGGACATTTTTTTTAGTCACCTTAATTAATTTGAATTAAGGGAAAGGGAATTATATAATTAATTAAAAGGAATAATGGTGAAGAAAATGAGAGGCCGGAGTACTTACTTAAAAAGAAAAGGGAAGAACATCATCATTTATATGCAGTGGTTAGAGACACAAATTAAATGAAAAGGTTTGTATGATGTCCATTGGTCTACTTTTATGGTGGGGTCTTCTCAACTCTAACATAAAATCAACCACCACTTTCACTATTATTAGAGAAAACAAATAATAATCCATTCCATTCCATCCCAAAAAATAATACTCCCTAGGTGGAATTCCCCCATAAATTCTTTAGGCAGAATACATCTATAATTTTTTAATTAGAAAATTTTATTTAGACACTTGTATTATCTATTCTAATAGAGTACTTGAACATATATATGACAAAATAGTCCTCTTAGACACTATTCCTTGAAATTTTGGATTCTGTTTGCCTATGTGTGCGAACATGCATTATTGAACATTCGGCTTGTTCAGAATGCAGTAGAGATGGCAAAAAATTAGAGTATGGACAGTATGACTTGTTTAATTTGTCTAAATTTATTGATCTTCTATTTATAAGCTCAATTAAATTCAGCTTGATCCATTTTAGCCTATTAAAAAATAGGATTGATATGTACTTCATATTGATCATAATTATTTTTTTATCAGTGTAAATTGAGGTAAGGCGTTCATTTGACATTTGTAGAAAGAACAATAAAATAGTAAGGGGTTTGATAGTATAATTTAAAAGAGTGGGGTCCATAGATGAAGAAACAATGACGTTGGACCTTACAATTTGAAGAAAAGGTCACTCGAAACCACCTCACTCATTTTACTCGTGTAACTAACCCACGTAGGATCGTTTGGTTGGAAACAAATTATTCCAAGGTTAATTATTCTGGGATTAATTAGCTATTCTGAGATAATTTATTTCACCATGTATATGGAATAACTTATCTCATCACTATGATATAAATGGTGAGATAAGTTATCCCAAACATGACAATCAAACAAGATATAAAAATTGTATTCCATCACTATTTATTTTAATCTCTCATACCAAACGACCTCAGAAAGAGGGTGTCGGTTCGGAGCCATTGCACTTTCACTCCCAAGAAATTAGCCATCACACATTAGACTAAAATTAACACTGCATCATCATTTCATCTGTCACTTTATAATTGGGATAAAACTTGTCAAATTTTAAACTCTCCAACAACTTCAAATATATAATGTTTGAACCTAATCTAACTTCACACATGATGTTTCAAAGTTTCAAATAGCACATGACACAAAAATTACTCCGTCTTCACTTTCACTTTTACGTGAAAATTTTAACTATCATTCAAGAGTATTAAATCATTTATTGAAGAGGTACATCTATTCTATCATTCAAGAGTATTGAATTAAGACAGACTAAAACGAATGTATTAGCCAAGTGGAATGTTTAATTCTAATATATTAGCTAAAAATTGAAGGTTGTTACGTGTCTTGTCCTTCTCACAATTCCAACCACTTCATTATTCTAATATCTTATACATAACTCTATAAAATACTATAGTACTGTTAAATTTGTAACTTTCATAAAGATGTAATCATTTATTCGTCTTTCTTCTCCTAGCCCTCTAGTATTATGTCCACCAGCAACGATGACATTGTGACACACGCATTTATTTGTTATTCACTTTGAGTCCAATATATTTCTCTGTCCTATACAAATTATAAATAACAAGGATATAGTTTTATTTATTTTGTTTCTTAAGAAATTTTCTTGAAATTTGTTTATACTTTAAAAATAATTAAATGTAAAAGTAAAATGAGAAAAAATTTATCAATTTTATCTTAAATTTGTAATTTGACAATTATATATCTGGAATAATTATTTTTAGTAATATGTGTTGGATAAATGGACAATTAATATGAAACGGACGGATTGAAAACATGTATTCATAAATCAACTGATTTTTTTGTCATTTAAGTCAACATGCAATAGGATATTTTCTTAAAAGTAGAAAAGTCCTCTTTAAATTTTAAGACAACAGATCACATGAAAACACCCAGCTTAAAATTTGGTGGATTATCACTCACTGGAAAGTTTTAAAATTGGGTCAGGCCGAAGTTGGTCTTTTTTAAATTGAGTATATATTTTATTAGATTTTTTCTTAAAATGTTAAAATATAGGGTGAAAAACTATCATATACATCGGAAGGTTGGATATTCTTAAATAATTGTGATTTTTCTTTTTACTATATATAATGAAAGATTTGTACATTTTCTGTAATATATGTGTGTGTGTATGACAGAGATTATGATAATTAAAAAAATCATAATCATGTGACCGTTTACGAAATTTAGGCATGAATACACCATTCAACGTATTGGTCACTGGGTGGCAGATCTACTATTTATTCAACTTTTCATACTTATACACATATATATACAAAGTTTTAACTGAGGTCACTGGGTGCCGCGGCACCCCACCCATAAGGCTAGATCCATCCCTGGTTGTACCGTTTCTTTTAACAAACTAAAAAGAAAAATAAAATCTATTAATTACAATTTTGTTTCTGTTTTTTTTTATCAAAATCCATTCATGGCCGCAGACTCCAGACTCCAGTGATGATAGACACAACAATTGACACCCTTTCATGAGAATTCTGCATGGCAACGGGATAGAAGTTAAAAAGGGATATAACCAAATGGAGGGGGACATATATTTAAGCCTAACCTCCTTTAAAATGTTAGGGCAATTAATTAGATGACTCGCCCTATAATGTTTCATGATCAAAAGATGTTAGTACAAGAAGAAGCATATAGAAAAGGTGTTGCAAGAACATATTAATTACAATTAACATGGGTTTAAAACAGTTTAACTGCCCAGCCATTTGCTGGTTTAAAGTTGTTGTCATTTGAATTGATGTTTTACCTCACTTTTCTCTTCTATCTGTTTTGACTCTCTCATGAGTACTGTATCCCATCATCAACAATCCTTTTTTTCCTACCACCATGTTCAACTTGTTTTGTTCCTTTTTCCCAAGTCCCAAGTATTTATTTATTATATATATATATATATATTACCTTCCAGAGAGCTCATTTTTAAAGGAGCCAATTAAAATTAATCCATGACAATGTGACTCACTCAACCCTTTTCTTTTTTTTGGTAAATACTCAACCCATTTAAGTGTGCGTGGATGCGGCCTATTTAACTACTTAACTCATACTAATTAACCTGCTCAACTCAACTCATTTTAATATTTAACTGATACGTAGCTTAATTGATCCATGAATTTTTTTTTAAAAATAATTATTTTGTTTGATATGTTCCCTAGTATGACGTTTTGATTTTCTTAATTTGAGGAAGAAAAATTGAAAGAGCGTCATACATAAAGATTAGAGAAAGGTGAAGAATATTTTTTGGAGAGAGAGGGAGTGTGATGATTAGAGTAGAGAGCTAGTGTTTGTGTTGAACCATGATGATTTGTAAGTGGATGGATGATGAATAAGCTAAGGCAACACAACACACAATATATACTAATAGTATATAAATAAATTCCGTTATGATCAAGTAGTGAGTCTTAGTCCTAATTATGATGTTCATATATTATTCCTCAATTCCTTTCTTTAATGATGAGGCCCGGCCTTAATAAATTGACGACGCAACTACTTACCTCTTAATCTCATGAATTCACTATTAAATAATAACTACTTAGTGGCCGGTAGTTGTAGTTGGTTAGTTGGAGTTGGACTTATAAAATTCTATATATGCATTACACTATTCACCCATGCTATACTTACTAATTTTTAACTTACAACTTGATGACGTCCCTAATTCGTAAACCAAAATTTTCTCCTTTATATAATTACGATGTGATAACATTATTCATGTACACAATAGAAAAAGAAAAAAAGTACTCCCATGAGGAAATTAACTTAGTAATGTTTTTTAATTTGCTTGACAAGCAACATATATAATATATTAGAGTAGTATTTTAATATCAATAATTGCCAAGGAACTTCTATTTGGCAACTTATTACGTTCAGATAGATGAGTTGCAACACCAATTTAATGTTACGTTTGTCCTACACTTGTTACTTCTATTTCACGTTATAGCTTTACGTACGTACATGATTTCCTCTTTTCTTTCTAGTGTCCGTTTATCCCCCTTTCTAATTTTCTTTCTTCTTCTGTGAATTAGATAGCCAAAGAAGCATTGGTCTGTGTAATTTTAACCTCAATCAGATATCAACTGACATTTTCCTACTTTATGTTATTTTATTACATCTAACATCAGTAATGATCGATATTTATTCCAAAGAAAGAATAATTAGTAAAAAGAACATGTAATAAAATGTACGTATGTGTACCAAATCACCTTTTAACATTACTGTTTCATTATCAGACTGCTTTAATTTCTATGTTAATTTACATCTTAGTATTTATTTAAATTAAAAAGGTGCTTTAGAGAGAAAAGTTTGCAATTATTAGTGAATGAACATGATAATTGTGATTTTACATCTCTAGGGACCAATTGCTGAAATGAGAGAAGATTCTCTTTCAAAGTTAGATTGTTGCTTTGTTAAAGAAAGGTATCCATCTTATCTTAATTAATTAAACGTTTACCTCTTCACAGAAAATACTAAAAGTGATTTCAACAGTAAAGTTTCGTTAGAAACCCCACATTGGAGTCCACTATATAATATTGGCCCAATATGAATGAAGTACTTGTGGGCTTGCTGTCTTTATATTAGGTTATGGGCTATAGCAAATAAAAAATGGGCCCATGGACATCCAAATGAGAAGAGAGTCAAAAACAGGCTGTCATTTCCCACTTCATCCCTTCACGTCTTAATTTTAATGATCATCAAATCTCTTGCTAGGTATGTCTAAATTTTCAATTGGAGAATTATTAACTACGTCCTTTTCTCAAAACAATTATATTATGTCTACATAAGCACATCACAACTAATTTAATATTGAAAAGATTTTGTAGTTGTAGGGCCGCCAAACCTCCTTAGTCAACAAATTATATTGTATAATATAAGATCAATTCTTGTTGAAAATCCTAAAAGCCTTCCATATGTATGTATAATTAGATTATTTTAGGTTGTTGTTGCATCAATTTAGTGCAACTCTCTTTTTCTTTTTTTAATACATAACATATTTTCTCATAATTTGGGTGCGCGCGGAAATGCGTACTTTCCGTCATTTGCCACTTTAACTTTAACAAATTATTAGAAAAAGAAGAGTTTGTCCGGTCCCATTTTCATTTCCCTTTGTCTGTCTAAACTCTAACTAAAGAGAAAAAGTGAAAGGCAAATAATCTAATAGGGATTTGACTGAAAACATGGAGATATGGGATTGGGCCCTCATTAATTAATTAATCTCTAAGCATAACGCATGCACTTACTATTCATACACAAACGCATTTGTTTCTTCTTTATCTGGGATCAAGAAAAGCGAGTTCCACCGACGACATATGCAAGACCATCCATCTATATATATGTTCTATTATCAACATTAATTATTATAAGTAGTTAAGAAATGGGGAATTGCTTGTTTGGAGGAAATGAAGATATGATGGTGAAAGTAGTAACATCCACGGGTGGAATCATGGAATTCGTTGCTCCCGTTACAGTGGAATTCATTGCAGAAGAATTTCCGGGGCATGGAATATTTAGAAGCCATGATCTTTTCTGGAAGCCACTACCAGCAGCACAAGTACTATTAGCAGGAGACTCATATTATCTACTGCCGCTCAACAAACAAGAGAGCAGTAATATTAATATAGAAATAGGACATGTAAGATCAAACAGCGTTCCTCAAATTCAAAATCTACCCTATAGAATGTCTTTCGATAGCCAGGGAAGGTCAGAAGCATTGTATCGCTACAACAACAGTAATAGCAAGAAGAAGAAGAGGAGCCGTTTTTGGAAAGTGAAATTGGTCATAACTCCCAAACAACTATTGGAGATTTTGTCACAAGAGACTACAACACAAGAGTTCATTGAGAATGTCACAACTGTTGCTAAATGCGGCAAAACTGGATTTTCCGATTCCTGGAGTCTTTCTAGTAGTAGAAACACCACTTCTCATGCTTTATTTTCCTTAGAGTAAGAGCGAGAATTCATCTTTTAATTTGTACCTAATATTTGTACGTGTTGATTGTCTACTCTCTTCTCTCTCTGTAACAATATCAATTAATATGCATATATTATGTATCAACCCATGTTTCATCATTAGTAACTTATTCAATATTTTCAGGGAGCAGCTTTTGTTTTAGTCATCTATATATGCTTTTTAATTGTTCCTTCCGATAAAAAAAAAAATAAACTTTAGTCAATCAGTTTAGTGCTCATCACAATTTGGGAGGTATATATAGTCAAAATTTCTATACCATTGGCTTGGGCATCTATAGGTAGATTGTTGCGACAATCCAAAGTTTTAAAATTATAGCACATAATAGAGATTATTCGATATATATGCATGCTTTTTGAGGTCTCTATTTATTTCTAATTTAAAAAATCTGGACTTTATATTTGTGGATGTACATGAACCCCCACGACTTATATTTAATAATAAAACTCTGAGACTTGTATACATTGTCATAGCTACTATAGTGCATAAAAAAGGTTAAGAAAACGCTAGTTATAGGATATGAGACGGACTTTTTACAAGCATATTGGTGAACGACAACAAAACTGATAAAATTTTGCTTCTTTTTTTAAAAAAAAAATCCATATACAGGAAGGCTAAGTTAGTAGTTGGTCCGAACAAAATTGGATGTTAAATAAAAGAGTTAAAATTGAGCAATAACTTGGATCTAAAAGAAAAGAATATGTAAACAATTTTTTAAGAGAAAGAAAGACTTGGTCCTTGGCACTTGGCTGTACGTTTCATCAAGTTTACTCTGTCAACTTGCAGGTTTCATCATCTTTAGCAAGTTCCACCGCCCATCATGTCACTACCCCCAAATCAACACATTCCATTTACTCTATAATTAATCTCTTCTGCAACGTAACTTGTGTTTAAAATCACTATCGGATGATGTCCACTTAAACTTAGCTCTATTAGAGAAAGGATGGTGTATTACTAGGTCTAATCTTTTAATTTTAGTGAAGTAAACATTATTTCCATATTTTTTTTATACTAGAATAAATGCGAAAACATTAGTACTAGTAGTTTTGTCTAACCAAATAAAGGCATGTACTTTTGTGTTAAAATGGTAATTGGGCCTGTGGGCTACAAAGCAATGAGTAGACTTTTGAAGCTCCCTAAAACCCAAATTAGAGCTGGCTCAAGTCAACCACAAAAGACTAGTACAATAAAAATAATTTTTATTAGCGATAATAAATATACATATTAATAAAGAATGTTAAAACTTTTATCGACATTAGATAATTAAACAAACTGGTTATTATATAAATGTGGCTTACCAAAAACTAAACTTTATCTGAAAACATGCATGTGGCTTTGACTAATAATGAGAATATCTACCTTTTTTTGTTAGTTTGTTTGGTTTTCTCAACGCAACTTGTGTAGATAGTGAAGAAGGAAAAAGTTAAAAAGAAAAATAGGGTAATTCTATTTCAACCATATGCTACAATAGATAACTATTGGAGTGTTTTATTCTCCCTTCTCTTCTTCAACTTGGAAGAATCCGTTAAGTGGAAACCAGAAAAAATAAATATTGACCAAGCTGACTCCATAATAGTAGTATAGTACAGGCAGGGGTGGAGGGTAGGTGTTTAATCGTCAAAAGTCAAAACACATTAAATTTATAAGTGAAATTATATTATGAAATATTCCAATATTGTTCCAAAGGGTATATTTTAAATTCCACTTATGATATTTTAATTTGTCTCTGAGGTGGTTTTTTAAAATCGGATATGTCCGCGAAGGGGCAGTAGTTGAATGGAGTCAGCGCATGTGTTTTGGGTAATTGCTATTTACCACTTTCTCCATCCACATTAGCTTTTCTAGTTGTCTGTAAACGTCAAAACTAGGGTCAACCTTTTTTAAACAAAAATAATACAGTAGTAATTTACTAGTCTAGCACATGCATGCATGTTCACATTATATATACAATCTTCGTTGCTTTATGGTAAGTAAATGTGAACCCTTCTTTCTGCTGATCATAATTACTGATTCATTTCTCTACCACACCAAAAGCTAATAATCCCTTTAACATAAAGAATTTAGTCCACGCTTCTCTATCTCCAACAATTGGTCGATACATGTTTAATTAAACTAGTCACATACTAAGTCTAGACCCCATGAAGAAAAAATTAAATTAATTAAATCCACCTCTAACTAATAATTTTATTTGACATACATAATCATTTTTTTCAGGTCATCACCAATTAATTTTTCTAGTGTAAAATTACTTTATAAACTATTTGATTGCGTAATATTTTTTCCGATGTCTGCACAAAATTAATGCCAGTTTAAAACATATTAAAATAGAAGCAGGGTAACAAATGATAAAAAAGGAGTCACGGGCGGTGGGATATTTTAATTTTAAAATACTAGTATTAAATATGGTGAGCACATGAAGCAACAGCCAGGATCAAGTCAACGTCTGCTAATAGTCTAAACTTACACATGGAGGAGATTATGTGCGTAGGAATGGAAGGCATTGGATGTAAAAGATAGATAACGACGCACTTAATTAAATAATTCATTTTAAATGTGTCACTGCTCATCAAATTTTTAAATGATTATCTTCTATTGATTTTTTATTTTTATTTTTAAAAAGTGTTGTGGGACTTTTCAATGGTTTTGTTGTTTAACGACTTTGCCTCTTAGCAAACTCTATATATTATCATCGTTATTAAAATAATAATAATAATAATTTGGAGTTTAATTACACTTATTAAGTCTTGTGTTCTTGGGGATTAAGATTTGATAACATTAGAAGAATAACAAAATAAAACTTATTTAGGCTTGTTAACAAACAGTAGATTTCAAATCATTCTTGCTGGTCAGTTAATTTTTTAAATAAGTTAATACCAGATAATTGTTTCATGTCTCAAACTCAAATTAGATACGGTTGTTGTTCAGGGAATTTTCGCAAATACTAACTACAATAAATTTAATTATGCTCCATAGCTTTAGTTTGCATATTTACGGCGGGTTGTAGCTACAGTTTAAGTTATCTTGTTTGTATATATAATTATCTGGTGAGTTTATATAATTTTACGATATATTTGTATAATTGAGCTATTTTTGTATAAACTCAAAATAACAAATTTATACAAATATATACAAACATTTGAACTTTAAACATTTATACAAATTATATTATGTAAAATTACATTTACAAAAGTTATACAAATTCTAAATTATACAAACTAGAAATCCCAACTCTATTATCACTGAATATTGATCACGAGTAGTAATTATCTAAAACTATAACTATAATGACTAATTAACTAGTATATGTTTGTTAAACACTTAATTTTCCCATGTAATACGGGATCATTTGTTTCCTTAAAAAGTGTTTTCCCTTTTCTTTTCTTTCTTTTTATTGTTATTGTTTTCCTTCCCTACATTTTTTTTAAAATTACAATTTGGGGATGAGAGTGACATATAAATCCCATGACCTGTTGAATTAGGTGTATCACAGTACAGTGTCTTTGAAAGAGGTAATTTGAGATTATCTTCAAACACGTACAATGATATTTTACCGTTCCAGAAACAATAATAGTAGTATCAGTATGCTTGATGCATTTTTCATTAACTTATTAATTGTCAAGATCTATAGTCTAATGATATTTTGTTCATTTGTTGTTCTATCTGTCGATTACGGTTTTAGTTTGATGAAGTAATCATCTGCAGAAGATTGAACATGTAAATAAAGACATCTGTATATATAATAAATAAATATATTCAATCAAAAATATTATCACTAGAATTATTGAGAGGCTCATATAATACTTCTTCATCGCAAAAAGTGTCTTGGTCTAAACTCTTAAGGTACGAAAGTCAATGTATCTGGTTTTCTACGTGAATTTGCGCATCGATTTTCTTATACGACTTTCAAATAGATTTTACATATTTAGAATATTAATAAAAGTAATATAATTGTAATGTTTTAAAAAATCTAAAAGATGCTAGTTAGTAAAAGGAATAAAGTCCCACGGCTATAATAATAATAATATTGCACCTCTTCCAGAATGTTCAAGATTTGGTGAATCTATATTCAAAAAAAAAAAAACAAAAAAAAACTATATTCAAATTAAATAATTGCTTCAATCTTGAATTAACTATTCTTAAAAAATTATTTGATAACTAATTTAAATTCGCACCTTGTAAAAACAAATTTAAAATTGCACCTCATAAAAGCAAGAAAAAAGGCTCCCTGCCAAAAAAAAATCAAAATTCATTTGAGTAATACATATATTTGCATTTTACAGTTTGTCGAAATAAGAAATATGGGAATTAGGGCACAAGGAAGGAAGGGGCTAAATAGTACATTGAAAATTACTTTTTTTTACTTTGTCCTTTGGATTAGTTTTGAGCTATTCTTCTAAAATAGGTAAAGTAGTTAAGAAATCCATCAAATGGAGGATAAATATCAAAAAAAGAAAAAATCTCAATTTTGAATAATTTAACTTATAATTATTTTTTTAATATTTTACTTAATATGGAATAGAGGAAATAATATTACTATTTAATATCCCTTTTATTTGCAGTGACAAGTGTAATATATTTTTTTAAAAACACGTCATAGAGGGATGAGAATGAATTGAATTTATGGATATGTAGATGTATTGCTATTAATTAGTTTGACCACAAGGTTTTGTTGTACCACTATAAATAATGCCCCCTGCACTAGTGATTTTTGTAGAAATTGACTAGGAAAGAAAGCCCCCAAAATTGAAGACATGGCTTCCAAGGGCAAGGTCATCACTTGCAGAGGTGAGTTTTGTGGAGTAATAAATTTGTTCTTGTTCTTCTGTAGAAATTAATAAATTATTATTGTTGCAGCTGCTGTAGCGTATGGTCCGGGGCAGCCCTTGGTGGTAGAACAAGTGCAGGTCGATCCACCTCAGAAAATGGAGGTCCGAATTAAGATCCTCTTTACTTCCATCTGCCATACGGATCTCAGTGCTTGGAAAGGCGAGGTATATAAATCAAGTTTTGATTATTGTGATTGATGAATGATCTAATTTAATTTAATTTAATTTGTTGGTAAAGAGCGAAGCTCAACGAGCTTACCCTCGAATTCTGGGACATG